TTCGATTAACCCGTTCGCGAGAGGAATAGCGCAGCATGAAAATTTAAAAATCGAGAATGATATCAGTCAGTTGGCTATCACGAAAACGTAGACGTATTTCTTATTCCTTGTGAGAATCGCATATGGAGATCTTTCGTAGAACTGGCTAAGAGCCTCGATATTCCGAGGGATTTTCAGTGCGAAACTTTTTCGATTTATCATCTAACGCTCTTCGTGACGTTTGCATCGCTACAAGAAGCTACCGGAAACTTCCACCGAACGAATACATTTCGCGAAAATGGAAGGATTAGAAGTTCAAAGGACAAACTTTCCTTCGATAACGTTCCGCCTGAAACATTCGAGGACAACCCAATCGATAAACACTTGCCAGCGGTGTTCCTGGAAAAGCAGAAAGAGCTAATAAATGTTTTAACAAACCGGGCTTCTTCGATATCGGCGCAATTATAATATCTTGTTTCGGCTTCCCACGATGCAATTTAAAGATTCGCAATTTCAGAAGGGCGATCATTAAACAGATATCAGCGAAACCGTTAATTACATATACGAGCAATATTTTCGGTGCGGTCGATGCATCCCTCGTTTTATTCCGAAAATTTAATTAGCTTCAATTGTCCCAAAATGCTAATGACCGCAATACCGCGAATACCATAACGCTCGTTGTTAATTGTGTACAGGTCGACTCACGAACTGTGTACCAAGAATTTTAAACGTAAATGCTTGTTAAACACTTATCGACTCGAAAATCAGAAATTCGTAAAAATATAGATATTCCGATTGTTCCTTTTGTAAAACTGTAACAAGTTTAGCGAAATAACGAGTTCTAGTATTTGAGCCTTTTATTACATTTCGGTACAAAATATCGATTACAAGTAAAACAAAAGAACAGAAACTATGCGACTGGTTTTGCAGTAACGAACGAGTCATATAACTCCGTATCTGCGACTAACCAAAATCCAATTTTGCGCTCTTGTATTTCTATCTTTCTCGAAAAGCAACAAAACTGCGCTCGGATTAGACCAGCTCTCGGGCATATAAGTTAAACTATACCCTGATGCAACATCGATAACAGGATAGATGTTCCGAAACAAATTGCGGGACGAGTTTAACTATTTATACAACTAGCAGAATGTCAGTCTTCAGGGTGGGCCGAGATATTACGTTCTATTTATAATTTCCCATGGGACACCGGTTCACGAAACAGTCTGGCAAAGTTGTGTCCCGTTTTCTTTTGCCCTCTTGCATCGTTTAATTCGCCGCCATTTTGTTCCCCGACAAGCAGCCATGGTCTATTAATTAACGAAGTGTTTCGACGCAATTAGCAACGTAATATCGCTCGATACGAATTGTTCGATACGCGTCGCTTCAAATAAGTCCTGTCTCTGGAGATTTGCGAATTTCGAGGTGGCATCCGGTTACTGCGGAAAACTTTCCCGTTAATCTTTCAAACATCCTCGCTCGAATCCCGACAGGATTGCCGCGAGAATGAATTTCCCGTATGCGTGCTGACGCTTTGACGCATCCACTTTTCGAAATTAGCGACATTATTGGAGCGCCTTTGTCCTTGCGTTGTTTCGAATTTCGAGCGTTTGATCGACAATGGCGCGCTTATCGCGTTATACTACTTTCCTCCTTTTTAACGGGATCAGTTGTAACGATGTCGCATTTGTAATCTTTCGTTACGTAGGTTAGCCCTTCTACTGGCAATTATATTTGTAATTTTATTAGCGGGACTCTGGTATGTCCATAACTGAGGGGCTTTTTGGAAAGAGTCAGTACCTCATTCGTCTCGCATGTTACATAGTATAAATATATTTAATTCTGACAATTATGTACTTCATTTACGAACCAGTCAATGCGTCAACGATATTTAAATACATTCTGATCGATCACTATGCAAGAATAATTCGTTCGTGCATTCAGAATCGAACCACATTCATCAGTATCGCACATAAAGACGGCAAAAGCGGTCGGAAAGAGGTACAATAGAAAATCCATCGAGAACGAAACAATTACGAGGCGAGGTGTACGTAGATACGAGGCGGAAAAGTATCAGGAAAGAAAATCCCGACGGGGAAAGGAACAAACTCGTAAACAACGCGGTAAAATCTTGCAGTGTGGAAAAAGAAGAATAACGACCGGGTCGTTCTTCTTGTAGAGGCGGCAATGGAAGCAGAATGCGTCTTTGAATCGAGATACATACAGGACGAGTAACAGTGGCGACGGAGGAAAAGAGAGAATGAAGTGTCCTGTGCAAAAGATCAGATTTATTTGACCAGCGACGATATGCATCTCTTTTGCAGCTTTTGCTCTGGGAAAGTGAACCGTGGTAACGCTTACGCCTCAGGAACTCCTCGAGGTTCCGCGGGAAATCCTGTGCCGGTGTTGCGTTCCGAAATTTCAAGATAGACTGGTCAAAGCGCTACTAGGTTAATGACATTACCGCTCACCCGGTCACACAGAGAAATCATTCGACGAATCTCTCTTGCTTCTGGAATTGCTACGGTATTAACTCTGGCTGCGACAATGGTAGTTGCAGATATTTCCAAATATAGATTTGGGCAAATGAGAATTTCTGATGGAGATTTGGATAAATAGGGATGTGGAGATATACAAATTTTAGGGGATGGATGTAGAGATGTGGAGATGTGGGTAGCTGGAGATCTAGATAAATAGAATCTATGAATATAGAAAATTAGATGTAGAATTTGGTTGAATAGAAACTTGGGACTATCGTTCTCCGGAGGAATGATAATCTGAAGATATGACTACTTTAGAGATAGACCTGATAAACAGCTCTGAGGAATCTAGAGATGTAAGGATCCTAAGGTACTATCCTAGGGAACTATTACTTGTAATTTTAATCAGCTATTTCTTTAAACATACCTCATCTCTATGAATACCCTTAGATTACTTTCCTAACTCTATCGACCTCAAGAGCTGCATTTCATCGCGTTTACCACAGTATCGAATTTAATCGAGTTAAACGAGTTCGATGTTAATCAAAAGTTCGTCGATTTTCTTATAGAAAGAAACTTTGTAGTTTTCAGCGGAATTCCTAAAAATGGCGGAAAGAAATTTTCCGAGTGAACTGTATTTTTCATAAGTTCGATGAAGCAAGAATTCCACCTAAACGAAATAAATTCGAAGCCAGTTAAAATTCCGAGGATGCAGTATTTGTCGAAACTGTCAACGAAGTAGCAACTTCTTGAAGGGGAACAATCGTCAAAGAAGCTGCATTCGGAAACGTTCGTTCCTGACGTTAATGTTTGCTAATTTTGCGAGCACCGAGGGACAGGTAGCTAGGTTGCGAAACGGTGACTCAATTCATTGTGAGTTCCACCGAGGATGCAAATTATTAGCCCGTCGGCGAAAGAAGATGTAGGAATTTACCTTAACAAATTGAATGAGCTTCGAGGGTGTTAACGTACCTCTTCATGCAAATTGCTGTTACAGAAATGCGCATTGTTTATTACAATACTAATATCAAATGTTTCTGAAGATCTTAGTAGGATTTATTCGGATACAATTAGCACGATTCGTTCAAGTTACTGTGAACATTTGCAAACATTTATAGCCTGCATTTTCCTTCGCTTTGTCTATGAAACACGACTGTTTTGTCAAACTTGAAACATTCGGTTTTCCCTCTGAAACTCCGACGCGATGCTCCGCTTTAAAACGTGAACACTAAAGGGAAGCATTTATAGCATTACATGCACGGTACACCCTTTTATGCCCGTATAATTAGTCTGGCGCGAGGAATACAGTCTCGGGATTTTGTAGATTGATGACGATTTCGAGCGGCTTTCGCTTCTAGGGAGCTAATAGCCTTTTCGAGGAAACCGGGCACGTAGATTCATAGAAAATTTGGTTACAAATCGGGCGGGATTCGATTCCGTGTGTACAGCGGCTGACATTAAACTGAAAATGGCCGCGAGAGGAAAAAACGCTGTCGAACGAAACGGATTGCAACGGCGATAAAAAGTAAATCGAAATCGATGAACCGTGCTGAATTCGAAACTTCTTCGGAAAATCTTATACTCTTAGTATCCACTATTTTATTACTTTGTTATCCAATTTAGCTTACTATTCTATTATTCTATTGAAGTATCGAAGGCCTTGTTCAAACGCACGTGTTGTTTCAATTCTGTTTTATACCGAACTTTTGACTCGCACTGTTTTTATACGCAGACGGATGTAAATTCGAAATCAGCAAGAAATACGCGCAGTGTGCAAATATTTCATCACAGTTCGTTACCCTGCGATTTACGAAGCTCCGGTAGTGCGAGGCAGGGGAAAATAATTGCATTATTAAAATCGTCGGGAAACAGTTTTTGACGGAGAAGATATTCGGCTTTGAAAATAAACTGACAAATAAATAATGAGCCAGCCGTTATTCGTGTACCGATCGTCGCAGCCGAAAGAGAATACGATACCACACTTTTATACATTAATAATTAAAACCGTCGTTATTGAATGTACAGCGTGATCAAATATTAATGAGATCACAATATTGTTTCCCGGTGTAAACCGCACGATACTTCATATTTCATATCCGTCATTCGATCAGTCAACGCGTTCATGCACAAAGTATTGTGGTAAAATGCAAATTGGAAGAAAAAGAATTCGTGAGCTCATAAAATTTACATGGTAGTTCGCAGCGCGGCTGAGACCGCAATGATAACTAAATAATAGAGCATAATGCATAATAAAACCGTAATGTTATTCGCATTTGGAGTGTAACCAACTTGCTCGATGCTTTAAGCCAGAAGCTTAAGTCCGTTCGTAATTACCTTCGCTGTAGCCACGTTACTAAAAAATCACGAATAATCCGAACAAACTAAGGTACTAAAAGCGAATTATGGTAAAACAGTAGACGTTCTAATTTTGTCTCGACTTCGCTCAATCGGAATCCCTTCAAACGAAATAACAACGCATCGCAGTTTGTGATGTCACTTGCGTGTTTGCCAGTGTCGTAACACGATACCATATGTGTGTTTCAGTCACTGGAACGGCCGCGGAAGCCACACGCGAGACGGAGTCACTGTGGAACGTGTACGACGCGAAAAGGAACAACCGGTCCACTCCCTGGTGGTCCTCGAGCACGGAACGAGCCACGGCAGAAAGCAAATCCGTCAGAAAGTTTCGTCAGACGACTGGCTGGCACACGGACAGCTGGACCTCGAGGGAACGAGTTACCCTGGAATTGCTGAGACCGGTCAGCGAGAGTCCGAACGACGACGAGGACGAGGAGGAGATCGAAATGCGTGCGATGTCCACAACGGAAGGCTCGGGGAAAGTGAAATTCTTAAATCGAAACGCGACCGTATCCTCCAGGAACCCTAGGCACAACGTAAATCCATCCGCTGGTCGGACGTTTACGCAATCCACGGAAGGGTCCTTCAAGAATGCTTCCTCTACGAGTTTCGATAACGTAAGTCATATATTTCAATTTTGGGATGTGAGGAATTTGGGAATTTGCAATTTTAGGGTTTTGATAATTTGGGGCTTGGACTTTTGAAGATTCGGTTAGGTTAGGATGTGGGGATTTGGTGATTTGGCACTTAGGGGGTTTGGAAATCTAGGGACTCCAGTATACAAAGATTTGGGAGATTCAGGGATATGAGGAAGTGAACCTTTGAAGATTTGTAGATTCAGGGATTCGAGGATGTGAATAGTAGGTTAGACACTTGAAGTTTGGAACATATGAATTCCAGACTTGGGGATATATTTTAGAGATTGGGGAACGATAGAATTGGGGATTTGGGAATTGGTCGATTTGCAAAGGGATTTCGAAACGGGGTATTGAGAAAGTCAGAATCGTAAAAGGATCCCAGTATTTAAGGACCGCGATTCTTATTTCATTAATCCCCAGCCAAATTAGTAGAGCAGAAATCGAAGCAGATTCTGCGTCCTGGCATTCACGGTTATTCCAATTCCCATGATTCCTGTTATTACCGGGTCCGGAGGTTTCGATCCGGCATTAATAAAGTCTGGAGCGCGATAATCCAGCAGCGCGCAGGAGCAAAAAAGAGAACAGAAGAAGAATCGCGAGGCGGATCGTAGCAGATGTTAGCGTACTAGCGCGGTAATAGTCGTAATATATTTCAGACGTGACCAATAATTTGGTAGGGGAACGATAACTATAATTCACGGGTATCACGATACCAGCGGCTGCCCAAAGCCCCTACCTTCGTTTAATTAACGGCCCGACACCTGAGTATTAGAGGATTATTGTTCGTCGATCGTATAAACTTTCAATAGTTTCGAATTGAAATCAATTCTGTGCGTCCACGGTGTAAATTAAGCGGAGGCAACCGTTTTTAAACCGGAGGGGATTAACCGGTGGTAAATTATCGTGTGATTTTTAAACATGTGCAGATAGTGCCGACGCAGGTAGCAGTGTCGCCGTTCAAACAGAACGTGAAAAACCATAGCAAAGTGACGACCACGCCGACTACATTCTTTGATGTTGTTCGACGACAGATGAGACACGTTCCGGACGCGTGCGATAAGTTCAGCGTCGGGGACGAGGTGAAACGAGAATTTTACAGCCCTAACTATCCGGACAACTATCCGAACCTCACCGAGTGCGTCAAAGTCCTGGAAGGTGAGTATTTTCTGCTGGATAGAGTCTTTATTACAAACCTCCGGATACAGGGTGTTTCATGTGACTTGCACAACTTGTGACATGACTGAATCTCTGAAACCTCTTCATGTATAAAAAAATACATTCACTGTACAGTTTACAATCCATGTAAATATATAACACTTTGCACTCTGCTGTTCTCTCTGAGAGGACATTTTAAATGGCAAAATAAATTTTCAGAGTGCAAAAGGACAACATAAAAAATTGTCAAACCACATAAAAAGAAATTTGTCAAAGAATGCATACTTTAAAAGTCATGTGTACAGATATTGTGAAGCACCCTGTACTTGCGAGAGCGGATTAAAATGATCCCCGCACTAAATATTCCGTTATCCTATTTTGCGGTAACACATCTGCCGAGTATGGAAACAGAAATGGCTCAAGTCGAAACAACGATACACATCATCGGGGAGAGTAAATTCATTACGAAAGCGTAAGACGCGAAATTAACTTGGGGATAACTGCACAGTTCCGCTTTTGAGCGGAGACGTTCCGTCCGTTTCATATGTATAAGCTCGTCGTAACTAGCCCGGTGAAACTCGATTGAATCTCGAAACTGGGGAACGATCGCGCGACGCTATGATTAATATGTTCTGGTGGTTCCACGACGGCTCCGCTAAATCCAAGCCAAACATTCGATAAATTTTACCCGGGATATCGATACGAAGACTCGCCGAATGGAAATTAACTTGCAAGTTTTTGCTCGTTCGTTTGTGTCGTAAACAAGTCTGAACTGCAAATCTGTATTTTATAGATCCGTGTACTCTTATATTTCTGGATTTGTAGATTTTGTTATTTCTATTGTCGTATATTTTTTACAGGGTGTATATTAGATCGTTATGAGTTTAGATATACGGTATGCCTAGATTTTCAGGTGAGAGTTCTATGTCTGAACATGTATGGATTCTTCTACTTGGAGATCTCTACAGGCACAGATCTCTCTACTTAGAGATCACTATGATCTTAGATTCCTACATACCTAGATCTTCACACCACAAGATCTGTATGTGCCTAGGATTCTCTACTTAGAGATCTCTATGTCTCCAAATTCCTCTACTTAGAGATCTCTATGTCTCCAAATTCCTTTACTTAGAGATCTCTATGTCTCCAAATTCCTTTACTTAGAGATCTCTATGTCTCCAAATTCCTTTACTTAGAGATCTCTATGTCTCCAAATTCCTTTACTTAGAGATCTCTATGTCTCCAAATTCCTTTACTTAGAGATCTCTATGTCTCCAAATTCCTTTACTTAGAGATCTCTATGTCTCCAAATTCCTTTACTTAGAGATCTCTATGTCTCCAAATTCCTTTACTTAGAGATCTCTATGTCTCCAAATTCCTTTACTTAGAGATCTCTATGTCTCCAAATTCCTTTACTTAGAGATCTCTATGTCTCCAAATTCCTTTACTTAGAGATCTCTATGTCTCCAAATTCCTTTACTTAGAGATCTCTATGTCTCCAAATTCCTTTACTTAGAGATCTCTATGTCTCCAAATTCCTTTACTTAGAGATCTCTATGTCTCCAAATTCCTTTACTTAGAGATCTCTATGTCTCCAAATTCCTTTACTTAGAGATCTCTATGTCTCCAAATTCCTTTACTTAGAGATCTCTATGTCTCCAAATTCCTCTATTTAGAGATCTCCATGTGTCCACATCCCTCTACTTAGAGATCTCTATGTCTCCAAATTCCTCTACTCAAAGATCTCCATGTGTCCACATCCCTCTACTTAGAGATTCTTATATCCCCACAACCTCTGATCTCTATGTCCCTAAATCTCTGTCACTTAGAGATCTCTATGTCCACAGACTCTTCCACTTAAAGATCCCCATGTCACCACCTTCCTATAGCCTTAGATCTCTACCTCCCTCTACTCCCAAACAGCAATACATCATATCTCCAGATCTCTACACCACGTACCGATTTTTCCACGTACCACTGTTCTTAATCCCACACCTTCAGCTTCCTTTATCCCTATCTTCTAACGAACAAGTGAAGCGCAATTGACAAAAATTACTGGTGCAAAAAGAAACGCATAAATCCCTCCGTTGGAATGAAGCAAACAAAGGGCTCTCCGGGTCGTATCATAGCGAAGCTTTTCTCTGTTCTTGCGCTCTGTTCGAAATTGTCCGTGTCGGGAAGAAGAGTAATCGGATAAAACGTTGTCGAATACGGGTCGGTGTAATAAATCATAACGGTCCGTGGTCTCTTGACCTGACCGTGGTCGTGCGAACAGCTAGTCTCGATAACGAATCGATAAATCGTGGAGAAAGACCGGAAAGCCATTGTCGAGAGTCGTGCACCGGAATATTTCTTCGTCTCACGCGAAAACTTTCATGACCCATGATCACTGATCTAGTCTGCATTTTTTATTGTGGTTAATCGAATGTTTTGGGTTTATTAATAATGATGGCGTTTTTGAAAATTTGGTGATTTGGAGAGAGTTGAAAACTTGTGAATCCACCAATTTAAACATATAAAAATTTATAAATCTACAGATTCAATTATTCAATGATTGGTCCATAACCGATCAACTTCGTATTGCCCCAAAAAAGTAATCGACCCATTCATTGATTTGTACCTCGCGTGCCACTCGAAACGAGTTGTATACGAACCACTCCACAAAGGAACGGAGTCGTTCGCTCTCGTGATTTTCTTCTTTCATGGAATTTCCTCCGACTACACGCGAATCAACGCGCTACGAGATTAGCCTCTCTCGCGTTTTCTCGTCTCGATCGCTTGGAAAATAAAACGAAACGAACCGGCTACAACATTTTATTCTGCATCTTAATCCTTAATATTATTCCTCGAAAATTAAAATGTCTTTTTAATTCTCTTTACTTGTACAACTTGCAGATTAAAAATTTTAAACAAAGGATCTAATGAAGTGACTGGTCAAAGAAAATTTATGACAGAGTAGGTGAATTCATTAAAGTCTTGTAAAAAATATTGCAAACAGAAATTTTGACTATGTGTTAAGAGCATAGCTAAATTTTGTCTGGAATTTCCACCTTGACTTTCAACACTCGAATTCTTAATAAATCCAGACGAGACTTGAAATTTCGGCCAATGATCGCGTTTATTCGAGACTAGGATTGTGCAAACGAGGGCAGCTGGGTCGTGTTCGAAATTGAGTCAGGGTCGGCGAGACGGTGTACACGAATCTTCTTCTGATGGTCCCGAAATAGTATCCACGGTGATTGCTGGTCCTCGGCCGAGTTTTGGAAACGATCTTCGTGAACGCGTGTTAAAATCGAACATTGTCCCAGAGACAACCTTGAAATATTCCTCTCGGCAGCGTTTTTTAACGCGACATCGTAAATCGACGATGCGTTACCAGCAGAAACTGAATAAATTTCCGTCGATTCGACTGTAAATCATGCGCAGCGGATATCGAACCGGTCCATTTTACTTCCTTTCGGAGCGTCTCATCGAGATCACGTTATTGCCACGAAATTTACATGAATTACCGCGAAGAACGCGGACGGTTAAAACGATTGTAACGTGCGCCGAATAAATCCAGAGTTAGTTCCTTTGATAATATTCTTTTCCTCGGACCGATAAGCAGAGGTGCCGCAACTGGCTGTCGAGCGATAAGAAACCGCTCGGAAGGAACGAAAACTACATCGTGGCGCTCGTAAGGGAGCGGAGCTTTTAACTGCAACGTTCGGTTAAACGAGAGATATTTTCATTAAACGATAAGTAGTGAATTCTCGGGCAATTATCCGGAAAATTTCAGAACACGTTCAAGGAACGGATTAAATCGTCCGTTCGAGACGAGAGATCTCTGCAAATGAGCTTCGAAGCAAGATAGAACTCCCAAGTGACAAAAATTTAAATAAAATCATTTAACATACAGAACATAAATTTCATTTAACGGAACGTTGCACGGGCGTTTGGAAACTGTCATTTAACATTTGAACACGCATGACAAATTCGAAGCACAGAGCTTGTCATCAAAATCAGAGTTCGATTGTGAACAGCGTTAAGAGGAATTAGAATCATTAGCGGAATTCGGAAAATTTTGCTCCTGGAATCGAACATCGTTAAAGGTACTTGTCTATCAGCATGTCACATCTGGTATTACGTTCAGTGAGGTGATTATGGCATATTATACGCTCCATGTAAGTTACGACACCCAATTATCCACACGTCAATGTGGATCTTCTATGGATTACGGAAGTTTCACTGGATCGACCCCTGGCTTACACTAGGTTGTTGAAATTGTTCTGGGTAATACGAAAATGTTCCATCGTAAAATTTTTGTTTAAGTAAAATTAATCTTCTCGTTTTACTACTTTAGCGTACAAAGTTTTGAAAACGAGGTCTATTTAGTAATCTGAAAAAAAGACATGGAGTTCAAAGTGAAAATCAGTTGACCGGTTTGGATTTGCGAGCTACATCGATTTAAGAGAAATTGCCACTTTTCTGGCTGTCAGCATTTTTAACGAAGGATTTTCACCTATTCTGAAAATTCTCTCTGCGACGAGAATGACTATTGAACGGCTGGCTGTTCATGAATTCACGAGAAACGAATTTACCATCGACAAAGGCTGCTGAAAAGCCAGGATTGCCAGGCAAAAACTGGAATTAGCAGGATTTTTTCGAAGGAAGAGAGGTTTGAATCTGGACTAATAAATCGGTCAGCGTAATTATCTGCATTAAAATTATACGAAGGATGAGTCTGAACTTCGGAAGAATTCTCTTTAAACATGTTCGAGTTGCGGGTCAAGCCGTTTCAAGATCTAAGCCCCTTATTTCGAGCACAGTTCTTAGTTTTCAGCTAGTTCCGATTTCTTACGCGTCTACGCGAACTCGTTAAACTTGCCATCCAGTTACCAGTCGACACACGATGGATCGTCGAAACTTTTGGAGGATCATCGAGCGACAGAGGGACGGTCAGTGTTCCAATCGCGTTCCCAACAAAGCTCCGGCAAACGACGGGAAGAGCAGGCTCGATC